GGGGGGGGGTCAGCAGTGGGGCCAGGACCCCATAGGGACCCCATAGACCCCATAGACACCCCATAGAGCCCATAGAGCCCACAGGGACCCCACAGGGATTCCCAGCCCCACACAGAAACCCACAAAGCCCCATGGGAACCCCATAGAGACCCCATAAAGCCCAGAGAGTCCATAGGGACCCACACAGCCCCACAGACCCCATAGCGACCCCATAGAGCCCACAGGCCCCACAGGGACCCCATAGAGACCCCCACATCCCCATAGAGCCCACAAGGACCCCACAGACCCCATACGGACCCCATAAAGACCCCCAATCCCACACAGAGCCCCCACGGACCCCACAGCCCCCCTCAGGGCCCACTGTAAACTCCATAGGAACCCCCCCAGCCGCCCCCGACGCGGCCCTACAGCCTTCCCCGCCCCATAGGCCCCCATAGGCCCCCACAGGACCCCCCACGGCCCCCCGCCCACCGTAGGTTTCGGACATGGCTGTGGGGCCGCCGGGCGCTGCCGCCGCCGGGCAGTGCGGAAGCGGAGCGGACACAATATGGCGGCGCCCAGCAAAGCCGCTTCCGGCTCTAGTGCGCCTGCGTGACAGGAAGTGCCAGGAGAAGGGCGGGTCTAAGGTGTGATGGAGCCCTGCGATTGGCTCAAAGACGGCCGACGGGAGGGGTCACCTGTAGTGTGGGCGTGGGTAACCTGGCGAACGCCGCGCCCCCACCCCGTGGATGCGCGGCGGTCTATGCCCCCCCCCCCCCCCAAATATTGGCACCCTCACCACGTGACCAGAAATCCCCCCCCTCTTTTCCCCTCCCCCACCTCCGCTCCATAGAGTGGGAGAGAGCAGATTGGAGGATACAGTTTTATTGGGGATGGGGGAGGGGGGCGACCCGCGGGGGTCTTCTTGGGGGGGGATATGGGGTCGTTGTTGGGGTCCTTTTGGGATGGGGTCTCCCCCATTTCGGGGGGCCTCATCTCGGACAGAAGCGGAGGCGCAGGGCCGGCGGGATGTTGGTGATGCCGCCGATGTCGGGCCGGAGCTCGGGGGGCTCCTCCCCGGGGGGGGGGCACAGCCGGAAGCGCTGCAGGAGGGCGGTGATGAAGATGAAGATCTGCATCCGCGCCAGCGGCTCCCCCAGGCACATCCGCCTCCCTGCGGAGCCACCGCCGTGTCAGCAGCTCGTGGGGGGCCCACAGACCCACCGGGGGTCCCAGAGCCACACCTGGGGGGGTTGCAAAGTCCCACTCGGGGTCCCAGCCCCACCTGCAGAGAAGGGCATGAAGGCTTCGCAGCGGCGGAATTTCCCCTCAGAATCCAGGAAATGCTGCGGGTCGAAGCGCTCCGGGTCCGGGAAGTAGTGGGGGTCCTTCAGGGCTGAGCTCAGCAGGGGGTAAATGGTGCTGCCCTGAGGGGGCGGCGGGGGTCAGTGGGGTCAGTGGGGGCAGTGGGGGCAGTGGGGGCAATGGGGACAATGGGGATCAATGGGGTCATTGGGGGCAATGGGGTCAGTGGGGCAATGAGGACGCTGTAACCCACTCCCTCACTGACCCCCAACCATCCCCCCTCAACGACGCCATTTCTCCACCAATGACCCCATTACCCCCCACCAAATCACCCTCACAGGCCAATTAGCCCCTAATTAGCGCACCTTGGGGATGATGTACCCCCGGAAGGGGGTGTCCCTGGTGACGGTGCGGACGAACCCCAGCGGGATGAGGTCGAGGTGCCGCTGCACCTCGTGGATGATGGCGTCGGTGTAGGGCAGCGCCTGGCGATCCCGTAAGGATGGCAGCCGCTCCGACCCCACAACGCGATCCAGCTCCTCCTGAACCCGCTCTGAGTGGGGTCACGGGGTCACAGAGGGGTCATGGGGTCAGCGAGAGGTCACAGGGTCAGCGAGGGGTCATGGGGTCATGGAGGGGTTGTGGAGGGGACGAGGGGTCACAGTGGGCTCTTGGGGCCAGGGGGTCCTTGACCCCATTGATCCCCATTGATCCCCATTGATCCCACTGATTCCTATTGACCCCATTGATGCTCATTGACCCCACTGACCCCATTTTCACCATTGACCCCATTGACCCTACTGACTCCGTTGACCCCACTGACCCCATAATATCCCATAACATCCCACAACACCCCACAGTCTCCCATGATGCCCCACCCATGATGGCGGGGCTCCCCATCAGCGCCACCATCCCGTATCTCAGTGCCACGCTGGTGGTTTCTGTCCCATAATTCCCCAATATCCCACGATGCCCCCGCTATCCCATGATGACCCCGATATCCCATGATGCCCCTGCTATCCCATGATGCCCCCGATATCCCATGATGCCCCACCCATGATGGTGGGGCTCCCCATCAGTGCCATCATGCCGTATCTCAGCGCCAGGCTGGTGGTTTCCGTCCCGGCCAGGAACAGATCGAAGGCCGACACCTGCAGGTTGGTGGCTGTGAACGGCGACCTGGGGGTGGCCTGCGATGGGATTGGGGCATGGTGTTAATTAGCACTGAGATCATCAGCCTGACGTCAATTAGCGCTGAGATCATCAGCCTGGTGTTAATTAGCGCTGAGCTCAGCCTGGTGTTAATTAGCGCTGAGCTCAGCCTGGCATTAGCAATGACATTGGCCTGATATCGATCCTGATGTTAACCTACTATCACTGCTAATATCGATCCAACATTAATTGATATTAATGCTAATGCCAGCCTGATACCGATCCTGCTATTAACCCTGATATTAATCTAATACAAAGCCTGATCTTAAGGCTGATGTTAAGCCTGGTCCTAATCCTAATCCTATTCCCAATCCCAATCCTAACCCTAATCTTAATCCTGACCTTAATCCCAATCCCAACCCCAGTCTCTTT